TACCTGATCCCTTCAACACCTCGTGATCACACAGGCTGGTGTGCTTCTTCCATGTGGGCTTTGCTGTTTCTGGGCTAGAAGGCCGCTTGGTTACCTTCAAGCCCTTAGGAGCCCAGGCACTATATCTTTTGATAGCCAGGCGCTATCAGTTTTCTTCACCACACTTGCTCATGCACACATTGTCTTCAGCAATTGTGTCGGGAAGGTGAGCATCATGGAATGTCAGTTTAATGGAACAAAGTGTTCTTGTATTGAGGGATTACTTGAGTGGAGACCCATTGTCCATCTTCTACCTTAATACTAAACCTATAAATATATGTACATAGATCTATTTCCCCATCATCATCAATATAAATATATTTGCAAATGTACATGCCTATATTTAGGCCTGTATAAATGCTCTATGCCTCCTAGTTCTTTCCTCTATTTCCTTTTCCTTTCCTCTTGTCCAACTATCATGCTCAGCCTTCATTTGGGTTTCAATAATTCCTCTCAGTTACATTGCCCTTGATCACTCACTACCAGGCCTTCCACGCCCTCCTTGCCACTAGTTTTGAATCACTCATTGTTCCCTTGTCCCTGGGTTGGTTAGCACCACTTCCTTTCTGCCCACCTCCCCCTTTCCCATGTCTCCACTGGAACCATCGGTCCCATTGTTTTCTCCTCCACATTGTCTATCCAGCCTATCTTATCTATATAGACCTGCAGAGATAATAATATGCACATAAAAACAAGACAGCACCAAGCAAAGAGACACAGAAAAACAAAACAACAGCAACAACAAAAAAGCCAATGACATACAAAATAAAAAAAAGAAAGAGAGAAAGAAAAGCCTACAAATAGTTCAAGGTCTGTTTGCTGACCTTTAGGAGTGTTTTCTGGTCAGGTCTGATGGGGTGCCATGCCCTGACCCCAAAGTCTATTTTTTATACTCCCTCGGGACTTCCTTTCTCTGCTCCCCTTGCTTTTCTGTTGCACACCCTTAGTGTTTTGCCTCGGTGTGGTGGGGTCAGCTCGGGCACAAATCCCACACTGTGTCTCCAGTGTTGTCCCCTGTAGGGCTATGAGTCAGTGCAGATGTCGCGTCTCATAGTGGGTCCGGCCATATGGTCCTGCACCCAATAGATTTTTTTAAATGAAACTTAATAAAATGCAAAATGTGTATGGCATAAAGCAGACATGCACATAAACAAGACAGAGCAAAACCAAGCAACAAGATAAAACCAACAAGCCAATGACAACAAAACAAAACAAGGCAGGAAAGAAAAGCTTGTAGTTAGTTCAAGGACTGTTTGTTGGACTTTAGGAGTGTTTTCCAGTCGAGTCTGTTGGGGCACCAAGTCCTGGCCCCAATACTTTATTCCACTAAACTGGCATTCTATGATGCTCACCTTCCCGACACAATCGCTGAAGACAAAGCGGGTGAAGACAAAGCAAATGTGGTGAAGAAAGTTGATGATGCCCGGCTATCAAAAGATATAGTGTCTGGGATCTTAAAGGCTTGAAGGTAAACAAGCAGCCATCTAGCTCAGAAGTAACAAAGCCCACATGGAAGAATTATAGCAGCCTGTGTGATCACGAAGTGCTGAAGGGATCAGTTATCAGGCATCAAAGAATAAAAAAAATCATATCATTGTGTGCTCACCTCCCTGATACGATCGCTGAAGACAAATGGGTACATAAGCAAATGTGGCAAAGAAAGCTGATGGTGCCCGGCTATCA